CTCTGAATAACATTTACATGCATGATTTTGTTTATTACATCATAGTAACTTTAAAAATGTTATTCAAATGGTAATACAAAATATTTGAAGAAGATTTGAATGAACTTCTTGGGGATATGGATGAATAGGAGCTTGCAGCTGAAGTTGAGAAGAACTTTGCAATATGGTTTCAAAACTATGTGGGTATTATTTTTTGTATTTTTTAATTTTATTATTTTTTGTTATGGTTATAATTAACTCTAATTAAGTGTTTTACGATTTTTCATATAGGGACGTAAGATCCAAATAAACAACAAGTATATATATGACCTTTCCAAAATGTCATTCAAAAAAGTGAAATTATATAGTGTATACTTTGTCAATGGTTACAAGTTTCACACAGAAGCTCATGGTCTGAACAAATCAACAATCAATAGCGGATTGTGTGTTAGTAGCCAAGGAGGTGATTATTACGGTAAGGTAGAGGAAATTTTAGAAGTCGAGTACCCTGGTTACCCAATTAAAACCACAGTTTTGTCTAAATGTCATTGGTACGATCCAACACCTAACATAGGAGTTAAGGTTCACAAACAACATAACTTGGTCTAGATAAACGTCAAAAGAAAATACAACAAGTTTGAGTCGTTTGTTTAGCCATGTAAGCCACTCAGGTCTGTTACATTCCTTACACAAGTTCGAAAAAAACAACTCGGACTGGTGGGCTGTATTTAAAGTTAAACCTCGTGGTTGGACTGATGAAAATCATCCTCAGAAAGACATTGCTTTCCAATAAGATGAAGTTGAATCAAATGAAATCATTATACCAAGTAAAGCCGATACAAACAATTATGATGATCAATACATGTCAAGCAGCGGTTCAGATAATGAAGATAACATTGATGAAGAAGGTGAAATTCATGAGGACGTCAATGATGGTTTTCCTGACAGTGAGGGTAGTTATGAGTATAGCACTACTAGAAAAACAGCCTTTTACGACGCGCAATGCGTGTCGTAAAACGCTCAGACGACGCGCAAATGCGTGTCAAGGAAGGCCATGTCATAACGCGAGACGACACGCTTTTGCGCGTCGTCTATTTACGACGCGCATTTACGACGCGCATTTATGACACGCATTTACGACGCGCAGTTATGACACGCAATGCGTATCAAGGAAGGCCCTGTCATAACGGAAGACGACATGCATTTGCGTGTCGTAACCTTACGACGCGCGTGTTTATGACACGCAATGCGTATCAAGAAAGCCCCTGTCATAAAGGAAGACGACACACATTTTTGCGTGTCAACATATTAAATGTTTTTAAAATTATATATTTTTGATAGATTTACTAATTTTCAAATTAAATAACACATTAGAAGTCTCGTAATACAAAATAAAATACCATAAACAATAAAAATAATTCATTGCACTAATATGTCAAATACAAATAATCATTCGAATAGTAAGTAAATGTAACACAGTGCTAATATTGCATAATATTTATTATAGAAAACAAACCATGTACAACATTAAAAGAAACCCATGACTAAATTCTCATTTGACAATTTTCTTTCTAAGAGAATAACCTGAATGTAGGAACTTTGAGAGGCTGCAGGGCATGGAAGGAGGTTACTAGAGCTGTCTGAACCTGCACATGGCAAATCGGTAAATTTAACATGAATACAATACAAGATGATATGATCTCGAAAAGAGGAAAGTGAATACCCACCTGATCGGGTTAAGAAGATTCCAAAGCACTCATTTCATCCCTGCAAATTAATGGAAATATGTTGCCACTTTTTGCATTAAGCCAAAGATTATTGATATAATTTAATGTATTTTAGTGGTATGAAGTTAAACGTCTCTCTGTAAGTCTAAGCACAAAAACGCCTTAATTGTCTTTTAAACCGGCTTGTTTCTGTTATTTGACGTTTTAAAAAGCTTAATTGACATTTTAGCTTAGGCAACTCCATTTTCTCTTTTGTGAGAAAAAAACATTATAAGGTTGTCCACTTGATCTGCCTCCATTTCTGAGTATTCCAATACAGGGACATAATCCTGTCAAGTTTCAACAAAAAAAATTACCATGAGAAGAAGATTATTCAAATAAATTACAAATTATGAGAGTTCTAAGAACAGTAATATATATATATATATATATATATATATATATATATATATATATATATTTGACCTTAACATCAATACATTTAATGGTATCTTGACCTTTAAAAAAATGATTTCCTAGGTATATGGCCTCCTGTGACCAATCTGCAAGAAGTGAAGTATAAACTAACTTTACATACAAATATTTACAAGCTCATTCTATTTATAAACAAGATGATATTTTATCAGCTCTGTTTTTACATGTACAGCTACCGATACCTGAGATTTTACTTTTCTGTCACTTATTTTGGATTCAGGTTTGATGCAAACCTGAGACCAGAGACTAAAGTTCTGTTAGGTCAATTCCAAGTGCCCTAGAGAGAATAAACCACAAGAAAAAATGAGACAATAAAGAGATATTATTAGGAGACACGACATCATCCTCTTTCAAAAGGAAAAAAAACTTACAAATTTTCTGTCCCATACTCATGGTAAGACCTCTTTTGCCTATTTTTGTTAGATCTTAATGGCTATAAGCTTCTATATTCTTATCCAAAGCACATGTCTTTATGGCTTTTCTGAGATTGACATACCACACACCTAAGAAAATAGACACGTCAAAACACCCAACATATGTTATCGTTATAGTGATAATATATGGTCATTGATTTAGACTTAATCTATAATTTATAAAGAATGGTGTTTTAGCTAAAAGTTTTGGTGTACCATTTATGCCTAATGAGTTAAACAGAAGACAAGAAGTTACAGGTTCATGCTTTAAGCCACCACATCACTTGCATAAAATAAACTTAAAAAGAAAGATTATAAGAAATTCAAAGACTTGCTAGAACTTTCTTCCCTCTTCTTATTCTCTTATTCTTTGAAAACCACCCATCACCACTTATATACATCTACAACCAAGAACAAATATGCTAGTCCCATTATTGAATGACTTTATTAATAGAACTTCGAATAAAAAGAGCTTTTTCTCTCACAAAATAAAGTTTAGAGTGTGAAGTTCTATGTAGAAGATTGTAGAACCTTACATCATCAGCAACAACAATCTTTTGGTTTGGGAAGTCGATCATTGGTTTTCTTTGAGGTGTGACAAGTCCAAGAGGACCAACAATTGCAACTCCGGCTATTCCCTGTATATAAAAAATGGAAAGAAAAAAAAATTATATAATAAGAAATATGCCAAGTTTTGTAAAAGAAACTGAGTCCAAGCATCATCCAAAGTATACATGAAAAGCATGAAGCAACTTATAAGGTTCAAAATTTTCTCATAGCATAATCCAGATTAGTCTTCCCCGATCTTTAACTATTCTAAAAAGTTGTAAAACAGACCTCTTTTGGAGACAGAAAGAAGTAAGGAAAAATGCAATTACGTTTATTAATTTATTAATAAACTATAATGTTGTAATAGAGAGAGATATGAAAATCACTTCCACCGGTCTCTGTTAAATGCAACAAAAGAATTGAGCGTCTTTCATACTTTAATGCAGTGGGATTAAGGCAGCTAACAGCTTTGTAATTAGCTTCAAAACATGAAAGAAATAGTAAAATATATATATTTTTTAAGAATGATTTTTTCAATAAGAAGTAGAAGCATAACTAACCATACATGTGAAACATTTTGAGGGACAGAAAAGAGAAGAATATGATAGTTGAGTGTGTCCTATTGTAAGTGTGCAAAAAGAATCTCTAAAGCCATTCCAATCATTGTTGCCACTGTCTCATGGGTTCCTTCCTTAGAAATATTTTAATTTATTAATTTATTATTATTGTGTTCTTATTATATAGCCATATAAAATCAAGAAAACTACCTTTGCAGCTATATCTGCTGTGTAATTTTGAAGAGCAAAATGTTGGGTCAAAGCAGTCGTAGTTGCTCCACTGGCAACACTAGCTAAAGCAACAGAAAAAAGGGTATTTTGGTCATACTGATCACGAGGGTAGCAAATTACACAAAGTGTTCGGCCAATTTTGCAAGTGGAGTAAATATACAAAAAAAAAAAAAAAAAAAAAAAAAAAGTAGAAAAAGGGAAAACATTAATTACTAAAACATCTTGACAACCTTCCTATGCTGAGAATGAATATAAATGCTGAAGGAAACAATGGAGAGACAAAGTCCATCAACACTCCTTTAACATATGGTCTTAATTGGGTAGCCGTTTACCGAAATTGCTTTGGCATATGCTTTGTTGTATTACCAACCATTAACAGATGGAAACCCAAAGATAGCAGCCTAACATATAAATGGTAAGAAAAAACATTAAAATTAAAGTAGTATAATTCCTTCCAACCATTTTTCATTGTAAGGATAGGTAGGAGCCTAACATAACCAAAAATGACAAACTTACCCTTTATAAAAGTAAATATCACTTCCACATCAATTGCATTTGAATTAAACAGAACTTAGGTAAAAAAAATGGTAAGCTGGAATTGAGCACCAGATCTTCATTAAAGCCAACACCAAATCTGGAAGTTAGCAAGGGCATTTTAGTCATTAATATGTATATAATTACCCAAACGTTCCTGTTCACCAACTGCATGAGAATTAATATGTATATAATTACCCTTCATGGTTGTAAGTTAGCAAGGGCATTTTAGTCATTATAGTCATTATGGGTCTTCATTATAGTCAAAATGTTGTAAAAATGAATGATTTTAAAAAACAACAAAAATGGAAAACCGAGAAAAATGAAAAAATGGATGGTTTTAGAAAACGCAGAAAAACATAACCAAAGACCGAAACCAAAAAAAAACTAAAAAACCAAGTCGTTTGTAAGAAACAAAAAATGTAACCAAAATAGTCGAACCATATCTATAAAAAAAGCTTGAAAACTACGAATTAAAGTAGAAACTAATAACAGAGGCACCACACAGGAGGGGTTGAAGGACATACTCAGACAACATGAATCAGGCCATATTCCGGCCATTTTATCTTGGACTTTTGGCTTGGTTATGTGTCTTCTTTGTGAAGGCTGAAGACCCATACAGATTTTTTATATTTGAAGTTACATACGGACAAATTTCTCCTCTTGGTGTTTCACAAAGGGTAAGAGTCAACACACTTCTCTTTACTGCACACTTCAAGATGATGATGATATCTTAACTTATAATCTCTTCTTTTCCACCATTACTTTAGGGCATACTTATCAATGGGAAGTTCCCAGGCCCAACCATTGACTGTATCACCAACGACAATGTCATTAACAAGCTGGATGAGCCCTTTCTTATCACCTGGTAAGTACTTTCCTCTGATTTGATTCTGTGTTCTTTTTTGCTTTCTGTGATCATGGCTCATATTACTATATGGATTTCTATTTACTCTACATTAGGAATGGTATCTAACAAAGAAAGACCTCATGGCAAGATGGAGTTTTGGGGACAAACTGCCCAATCCCACCAAACTCAAACTGGACATACCAAATGCAAATGAAAGATCAAATTGGAACTTATTCCTACTTTCCTTCAACCAAGATGCATGTTGGTGGTTTTGGAGCAATTAATATCCGAGCAAGAGCTGTGATTTTTGTCCCATATCTCAAACCAGTTGAGGAGTTCACTTTACTCATCAGTGACTGGTGGAAATCAGATCAGAGGGTATTTTCTAATTTTCTCTCCCCTTTCATATATCCTTCTCAATTACATTGTAGACAAACAGTTAAATTAATAAGGTTCTTTTTCAGACACTACAACAAACACTCGACTCTGGGAACACTCTTCCCATGGCTGATGCTCTACTAATCAATGGTCATGTTCAATCAACCTCTTTCACTACTCAAAATGGTTACATTTTTCATACCCTATAAACTCAACATGACATGGGTTCTTGACTTCTTTCTAATATATGATAATCTTTCAGGTCAAAGGTACATGTTTAGAGTATCAAATGTGGCCTTAACCACTTCAATTAACTTCAGAATCCAAAACCATACACTGACACTAGTCGAAACTGAAGGATCACATACTTTACAAGAATCATACGAATCACTAGACATTCATGTTGGTCAATCCTCTTCTTTCTTGGTCAACCTTAATGCTCCTGTAGAAGACTACTTCATTGTTGCTTCAACTCGTTTCACCAAACCAGTTCTTACAGCTATAGCAACCCTCCACTATGATGGCTCCACCACCAAAGCTTCTTTACCACTACCATGGGGTCCCACCTATGAGATTCATTGGTCAATGAAACAAGCAAAGTATGTGATCCAAAGAATTCAGTGTAGCCTTGAGATCCCTAATCGTTAGTAATTGAGAGGAGTGAAAATGAAGTGGTGAGAGAAAATGTAAAATCATAAGCTTCTTCTTAGCTAAGACAAGGAGAGGTGGACGCAGAGGGGAAACTAGCAACACAAGATGAAGCCAACATAAAAGATTGAGAATTTAATTAGGGAAAATAAATGAAGTAGCCAACAAGTCAATTTAATTACCTGTTTTGCAGTCTTTTAGGAGCTTTCAAGAGTCTTCTTGAACCCTAAATTTCTCCAATCTCTGAACCCTACTCCAAAATTGTTATCCAGGGCGCTTAATTCGTTGAAATCGGTTCAACTTACCGACCAATTTATTGCTATGGGAGAGGAAGTCAGAATTACCGACTTCGATGTCAGCGGTGGAGATGACGACGACCGAGTTTCAGAGTGGGAGGTCGGGTTTCTGAAAGTCGATCCGACTCAAGACGGTTGTGGAAGGCGAGGATACCGTCGATCTGACTCAAGACAATTCTGATTCGAGGAAATTACGGAGAGTTGATAGCGGCGGCGCTAGCGGTGGAGCTGGAGGGGAAGCTGACTCCGCTTTGCGAGCCGATGATTCTTCCATAACTTTGTTGAAAAGGATTCGTTTGGTTTGGACTTCTCAACTGCACAAGCGATTTGTGGAGGTTGTTGGGAATTTAGGAGTGAAGAACGTTGTTCCTAAAACGATTATGCAGATGATGAACGTTGAAGGATTGACCAGAGAGAACGTCGCCAGTCATTTACGGAAGTATAGGCTTTATGTAAAACGGATGCACGGATCATCTAACGAAGGGCCATCTTCTTCCGATCCTTTGTTCGCTTCCGCTGTTGTTCCCAAGAGGTTTCACGATTCAGATTAGCAGATATTACATAAATTTTTGGGGTAGAATTCAGAGATTGGGGGTACAAGAGAAACGATCGTTATTCTTCCTCGGTAGAAATGTTCACGATTTTGTGTGGAATGAATGTGAAAAAAAGCCCTAGTTGCTTATCAGGAGGAATTAATGAACGCGCGTTATTAAAAAAATATAAAGTGACGTCCTTACACGACACACATTTTACGAAAGGCGCCCTCCGTGTTTTTTTTTTGCTATGACACTAATTTCAGGGCACGCACAAATGCGTGTCCTCTATCCTTCAAATTTTAGAAGAGATGACATTTAATTTTAGGGCGCACGCTTTTGCGTATCGTAAATCACTGCGTGTCATTGTTTGCGCGTCATTAAAGAGCTGTTTTCTAGTAGTGTAGTACATCGAGCAATGAAGAAGAAGAGGAGGAAGAAGATATTGACTAGTTGTTTTTGTTTCTTTATAAAAGGATGGTTACATTTTATAACTTTTAGTTTTTGCATGTGAATTGGTAAATGTGATGTTATGTATTAGTTCCTTTCATGAGAATTAAATAAAATAAAATCTTGTCATTCTTTTGTACATTGAAAGCATTTACTTAAAGGGGATATGTGTTTTTGAGATATTTGTATGTACAATATTTTCATTAAATATCCAATTAAGTAATCGTTTATGTTATAATCTAGTTTTTTTACATTGAAATGTTAAAAAATTATTCAAGATAACATAAACATATATAACAGCAAATGTTTGTTCTTTCCTAGTATTAAATACATATAAAATACAATAAAACAAATAAAATATATTACCAATTCAAAATCATATAATTCAAACCATATCTTACAAATTCCATTGATCATAATAATAATTCATCCATAGAATAAGAAAATTAATTAAGCATAGAACATCCCAACAAAGAAACAAACCATACATACCGTCATGAACTTGATGATTCCACAAGTTTTATTGTCGGTGCAAATTTTCATAGCTAAATATCTATGAAATTGAACTATTCCTTATCAATGTTGCTATGGAATATAATTTCGTAACAAATGCCGTCACAAATTAGCTAGACTTTTTGTTCCATAGCAAAACAAGCAAACAAAATCAAATTCCATAGAAGAATTCCTAGCAAATACCTACGAATGGTACTTGCATAGCAAATCAACTATGGAATTGGTTTTCGTCACAATGTCTGTTGCATAGTAACCACGATAATTAATTCCATAGCAGCAGTACAACGGAAAGTGATTTCGTAACAAATGTCGTTGGAAATTTGCCACGAATTTTTGTTCCATAGAAATATCGGTAGCATAATACCAACGGATATGGAGTCGGTAGCATTTTCCCTAGCAAGTCCCATTCTCGCTACCAGAAATAAAATGCGTAGACAATGTGGTAGCAACATTGTTATGGAACGACATTCAATAGCACGATCCATTGCAGATTAACAACGAAAATACGTTCCATAGCAACTTTCCCTAGCAAAATCCCGTTTTTCTTGTAGTGATCGAATTCTTTCCATAAGGCATCAACCTTATTAAAGTAGTCTGACAAAGAATTTCCATTTTGTTTAAGCGAATTAATCTGTTGGTGAATGTTGAACACAACAGACCCATTATATTCATTGTAAGTTTCAAAAAGACTTTTCCAAATATCCTCAAAAACTTCATAAACATTATTCTTTTTTAAGGTTCCATCATCAAATCCTAATTTAATTTTGGCCCTAAGAGCTCTAGACATAAAACTTCTCCACAACCTAAAGTTTTCATTTCCAGTTAATTTCATAGTAATAATGGATGTGATATCATTATCAGAAGGATGAATGTAAAGAGGATCATCAAAGTTAATTTGATCATCCTTTCCACTTCCACCAGGAGGATCAATAGGATCAGCCATGAGAATAGATTAAACACAAACAACAATCAAGAACCAAAAATAGAAAACAAAAAGCACAAAGAGCAGATAAATCAAACACGAAACAAATCAGAAACTTGTATTGATCTACAGTCCAGATGGTCACCATATTCCTTGGGGCCCAATACAACCAATACAGACCAATACAGGGTCGAGGAAAAACACAAAGAACGGACGTAAATAACAAGTAAAAAACTGGTGTACAAAAGACAACCATGATCTCCCAAGCAATAACAAAAAAAAGATAGAAGGGAACAAGGAAACTCTCACAAAACTGACGAGCACACAAAACGAAGAGTCCATTCTCTTTTTCCGTTCCCTAATAGGGTTTATCGGTGATAAAATCTGACCCCTAGAGAGTTATTTCAGACAAGGAGATTAATCGACTGAAATCCAAACGTCGAAACTTCGAATGATGCAATATATGTCGCAGATCACAAGTGATTGCTCTGCAAGAACCCAAAAGAACTCGCAGTACTAGGATCTAAAGTAAAAAACTTAGATATCCGTTTCAATTAGGAATAAAGATGTGGAAACCCTAAATCAAAACGAATAAGACAAAATATTCACACTTTATGTACCTAATCTAGATATTTCAAATAGAAACTCTATATCGAAGGAAAACTATGACCATATAACGAAAAAAATGAACAAAAGATTTGAAAATACCATTTACGTCGATGATCGCAGAGAAAATCACCAACGATCATCGAAGATGAAGAATCAGAACCTAGAAGCTCTGATACCATGTAGAAAAAGTAGAAACACAAGAGATACCCAACTTGAACAACTTATTCACTATAAACCAGTTCGATTATACATCAACTTACAAAGGAAAATCTCACTACATAAAACCCTCACACTCGTGTGAACAAACAAGAAACAAACGATAGATCCTAAGAAAAGATCAAACACTAATTCTATGAATGAACCCTAATATGAACAAACCCTAATATATGAGAGAGTTTTTATCAGAAAGATGAGAGGATTCTATCAAATGAGCTCCCAATAACACTTTAAATATCACGGGGTACACGAATCATCAGGAGCTCCATGGAGCAACTGAAGACCCGCACACAAACCCGACATAACCTGCATAAATAACACAATATACCTAGGACAATAACACAATATACAAAACTTACCCAAACAACAAATTAATGTTAAGTTTAAATATAAAGAGTGATATATTTCAACAAACAAAGGAAAAACTATTTAATTTAAAAGTATATCAACTGAATAAATTGACTAGCTATATTTATATGGATTCTAGTCAACTTACTCTTTTATTCTAGTCCTTTTCGTTTTGTTTGAGCAATGATGTGAGATGATTTTCTTCTCAAACAAATGTTTCTCCAAACTTGAAAATCTCTACATTTATTCATACACTCACAACATGTATTATTTGTTTTGAAATTTTAATTTTTATAACTAAAATGTGGTAGTCAAAAGTTTATTAACATAAAAATATATATAACATCGGGTCTCTGAAAATTTGAGGGCCTAATCTTTCCTCACGACAGGAATATAACTAGCCATGTAAGAATATAAAATTTAAAATTGATTAATTTATGTATAATATACAATGCACATATCTATGTCAAGGAATTTGACATATATAACGTACACACCACAAACCAAAACAATACCGATTAGTTGATTTTGTCCTTCAGGTTCCTACAACAACAAAATGATTGATATATCGATATAACATTAATTGGTAGATCTGATATTGAATTTTTGTTACCTAATCAACACCATCACTTAATTTTCAACTACTACAATCAAATTTTAAAATAATTAAATAAACATAATTAGTTGATACATGTACTTTGTCACAAGAATTCGCCCCACTTTTTGCAAAATAATATTTTTTTTGGTGGTGGCACCATTCTTAAGGGTAATTTTTTTTTGTAAAAGAATAATTTTTTGATCGTGGCACCATTCTCTTAAGGGTAATTTTTTAGGGAACGAAAGATATTTTTCAATTATTTTTTTAAATCGAACATTTGTTATAATTTTTTTTCCAAATTGGATGACACTCTATCAAAATTCTCTCTAATAAATGAAAGTTTTTTTTGCCATTTGTCACACTCTCATTTAATTTGTCAAATATCATTTTGTGGTTATTTTGAATTAATTTTTTCCCACATGTTATTTTATCAGTTTTTTTATTTTATTAAATTCCACATAAATATTTTAATGTAATAATTACAATAATTGTAGCAATAAATGGATATTAATTTCATTAATAAACTTACATTTTAATTTCAAAAATTCAAAAATTAAACTCATTAGTTTCTTTTCTTTATTTAAATTATTTGTTTAAATTTAAAAGATAAAAACTATTTCCATTATAATAATTCATTATTTTTCTTATTTTCTTATAAATACAAAGTTCTCAAATATATATTTAACTATTTTTTTAAATTAACTCATATAATACATAGGTCTCACAACTAGTAATTTAAATATTTGACCATCTTACCGATAACATTTTGGTTATCTGGACATAAAAGTGATGTTCAATTGAAAAAGATATTGATAAAGCCATGTTCGATTTGAAATAAAAAATAATGGAGTGTCAAAATCAAACAAAAATGATAACATAGTGACGTTCGTGTTATTTTCCTTCTTTTAAATAAAAACACGATACATATATCCTTTTTAGAACAACTTAATTATTTATTAAAAATAACAAGAAGCTAGAAAGAAAAGAACAATTACACGACAATAATCAAAATAGGGTTTCATATCCAAGAAGTCTAATTCACTTTTAATTTGTTATTCATATGAATAAACAAATTAAACGAATATGAGAAAATCCAAATCAATACCTAATCAAATTGGTTATGGTTGGAATCTCATTCAAAAGCACTACCCAAAACAGAATATTAATTTTTAGGAATAAATCTTTTTCATCTAATAGCCTCATTCTCTATAACCAAAGAAATATCTTCATTATAACATGTAGTAGTACTGGCTGTGTAATCATCCGAGTGGTCAAGGTCTCCAACCATATGTTCTTTTGATCCAAATGCACAAAGGGGCCACCAAGCTGGTACAAATATAATATTTAGCCCTCTCGACCCCC